GTCTTCCTGGGGCTCGTTATTATGGTGGCAATGAATACATTGATCAGGTCGAAAATCTTTGTCGTAAACGAGCTCTGCAAGCTTTTCGTTTAAACCCCGAGGAATGGGGAGTTAATGTTCAACCTTATTCTGGAAGTACTGCCAATTTTTCGGCATTGACAGCTTTGATCCAACCTCACGATCGTTTGATGGGATTAGATTTGCCCTCAGGAGGACACTTAACTCATGGTTGGCAAACTTCTAAGAAGAAGATTTCTTCCTCCTCTATATACTTTGAATCCATGCCATATCAAGTCAATTCAGAAACTGGACTTATTGATTATGATCGTCTTGAAGAAAATGCTAATCTCTTTCGTCCAAAATTAATTATATGCGGTGCTAGTGCATACGCACGTGATTGGGAATACGCTAAACTTAGGAAGATCGCCGATATACATGGCGCGTATTTAATGGCAGATATTGCTCATATCGGTGGTTTAGTTGCTGGCCAAGAAGCCAATAATCCCTTTGAGTTATGTGATGTAGTCACAACTACCACTCATAAAACTTTGAGGGGTCCGCGTGCTGGATTGATCTTTTTCCGAAAAAAGGATGATTTAGAAAGTCGCGTAAATAATGCCGTATTTCCTTCATGTCAAGGAGGACCTCATAACAATGCTATTGCTGCCGTCGCAGTTGCGCTTAAGCAGGCAGCTTCTCCGGAATTTAAGCAATATGCTAAACAAGTACGTGCCAACGCTAAAGCTTTAGGTGAAGCTCTAGTCAATTATGAGTATAAGTTAGTTACTGGTGGTACGGACAATCACTTGATTCTCTGGGACCTGAGACCACTTAAACTTACTGGTAGTAAAGTAGAAAAAATTTGCGATATGGTTAAGTACGTGTATTTGGATTTCTGTTTTTAATATATATATATATATATTTATATATATATAAATGTAATTATTATTTCAGCATTACTGTAAACAAAAATTCTATTCATGGCGATACCAACATGTTGGCGCCAGGTGGTGTACGTATTGGTACTTCTGCATTGACATCAAGAAGTTTCAAAGAGCAGGATTTTGTTAAAGTGGCAGAATATTTGCATCGTGCTGTTCAAATTGCTCTTTCAGTTCAAGTAAGTCCAATTTCTTCCTCTATTTTGAATGTTTTGTATTTAATGAGCATAGACAGATTTATGGTCTTTTTTTTTTAAAAAAAAAAAAGGAGAAAGCGGGCAGCAAAATGATGAAGGATTTTGTAATGGCATGTCAAGATAACGAGGACATAGCAAATCTTAAAAAGGAAGTTGAATCTTTTGCTACATCTTTCCCAATGCCAGGTACTATTTATTTATTTATGAATTTATCAAATATATTAAATTAGCATTACTAATATCAGTATTTATAGGATTCGATCCAAGCAATTTGGCTAATTTAGCTTCATCTGAATAATTATTACAAAAATAATGTTGTAGACTACTTTATTATATATACTCTAATTTATCAAATTCCCAAATTCTTAAATAGATAAAAAAAGTATTAGTCCATTTTTATGTAATGTAAAAATATAAATGACATTTTGAACTTTAAAAAAAGGATAAATATAAAATGATCCGCGCTGTATTAAGTAATGCCAGCCCTATCTTCGATCCTAATGCTGGCCATCGCAGAGTGTTATGGACGTAACACAAACGTAATTCACCCAGTATAAGAATTCATATTTTCAAATTTTTATTCTCTGATCTTTTCAGGTAAAAAACAATGCACTAATGTATAACTAACCTTTATAAATTATCAAATCTGTAGATAATACTTTAATTGTAGCAATAATAAACCACTTATCTTTTATTCATTTTTGTCACAACTCTTTTTAGGTCATTCTGTATAGTAAGTATATCATCAATGTAGCAAAGCTATCAAAGTTATCAGAGCTTCTCTAGTGAATCATTGATTTCATATTGTAAATATAGATGTTAAAAAAAAAAAAAATCAATCGGAAAAGATTTCGTCATAAATAATAATAAGGAAAAATTTGCTTTAGATAAAAAAATTTTTTTTTTTATTTTCTTTAAAGACCCTTACTTGTAATTAAAAAAAATAAATGTTTTTAAAGTACTAAACTACAAATACTCATAAATAATAATTATAATTATTTTTTTTAACAAAAATAAAATTTTAAAATTTCGGATTGGAAAGTATTGATCATTTATTTAATGGGCTTTCTTCTTGTCTTTTTTATCTTTCTTATCCTTTTTCTACCAAAGTTAATAAAAATTTAGTTTGTTTTAATTTATCGCAGTTATAATATCTAAAATATTTACCTTTGTTTTTGTTTTTTCAGCCATTTCAACTTCTTTAACTGGCTCTTTTTCCTTCTCTTTCTGCTTGCCTTTCTTTACATCCTTTTCTTCTTTTGGTTTCATTTCCTCAGTTTTCTCTTTTTTCTTTTCAGAAGACTCCTTTAATTTCTTGATTTTCTTAGCTTTTCCCCCAGATTTAGATATCTCTTTTTCCTCGTCATCTTCAGCTTTCTTACGCTTTTTTGAACCCTTTTCCTTTAGCTCAACAACATTTGTTGATGTAACTATTGTATGTTCAGATGCTTTTTTCTTTTTCTTTTCTTTTTTGTCCTTCTTATCTTTACCTTCCTTAGCTTTCGTTTTTTTAGATGGCTGTTCCTTTTTTTGCTCAGTTTCCAGTTTTCGCTTCTTTGTTTTCTTTTTCTTGCTTTTATCCTTTGATTTGTCATCACTTGATTCTTCATCACCTGATTCTTCACTTGATTTATTATCTTTACTAGATTCTTCTTCGCTAGTCGAATCCTCACTCTCTTCCTCAGCACTTATGTCTTCAGCTTTACGTTTTATGCCAGAAGTAATGACTTCGGCTGATTTACTAGAGCCTGCTGCACCATATTCAGCTGATTTACTGGAACCTGCCATACCATATTCAGCCGATTTATTAGATCCAGCAACGTCAGCGGATGGATTATACGAAGGCGTAGTACTATTATTTCCAAGATCGAAAAAGAATTTTTTTTATTTTTAATTCTTTTTATCATCATTATGATGGAAAAATCGCACCAATAGAAACACGTAAAAAACTTACGAGACAAGCTTGGGTTCAGCCTTCTTTTGTTTTTTCCCTTTATCTTTTTCTGTTTTTGTTCCAGAATCGCCATTACGTCCTTCTAAGATCCGTATCCTTTTTTCAATCTGTTTACGATTTGAATGGCCCAATTCTGCTTGTACATCCTTCTCTTCTGATAAAGCATCAAAACGAGTTGCGAGTGAAGATTTTGTGGCGACCAGTCTAGCTACCTATTACATAAAAAAAATTATGTAAATAAAATGATTTAAAAATGCTACTATCTTGATTAGATTTAGTGTTTATTCATTATACCTTGCCTTTATTTTTAGGAGCTGCTTGACCAACCAAACTAGCATGATATATTAAGCCATATTTAGGAGTATTGTTTTTGGTTTTTAGAGCTCTGAAAAGAGCCTTTTCTGCGCCTAAAATCTGTACAGTACTAGCTGGATGTTTTGCAAGATTAAGCAGACTACCCGAATGCGCAATCAATCTGGCACCAACCAATTCGCCTACTATAGTAGTCAAATTTGGTGCGATCGCCATCATCCGATTTTTAAGATATTCATAAAGTTCTGCACGGTATTCAGTTAAGTTTATTACTTGTTCACATCCCATTATAATATTGTCAATATCTTCTTTCGAAATTTCGGATCCCATGGATATTTCGGCTGCTTCTTTCAACTCCTTTTCTAAATCTTCTGGAAGTATTTTTGAAAGATCTGTTGTTTGTGCATTAGATCTGAATCCTATTATCAATATATATATATATATCAGATAATTTCAAAATTAAATTAATGATCGCAAGTACATTATAATGTAGAGTTTACGTACCCATAGTTTTAATTACTTTTGCATATGCCAAATTATCAACCACAATTTTCGACATTTCTGGAAAATGCCAACCATACCATTCTTTAACCCTCATCGCGTAAGTATTTAATTCTTTGTCCAAATCATCTAACAAACCAATTGCTTGAATGATCATATTATCAACTTTATCTGGGGAAAATTTCAATTTATGGCGGGACAAGGAATGAGAAAGACCCAATGACATCTGACTTATATCATCAGGTTTTATGCCGGTAATTAATGCATCGAGCTGTTGTTTAATTCCTCGATAAAGTTCCGTGACAGTGTCGTTAGACACGACCTGAATACCAAATTTTTTGCTAATTGATGCACCTATAGATTATTTATTACGAATATGATTATTTTGACGCGTAAGTAATTATTATAAAATTAGATTTTAATCAATTATCTAAAATTCGATTCAAAATATTACCAATTTTTGCATCCATAACAGCAAGTTTTTCGCTTGATATTTCTATCTTTTCAAAGGATTCTTTCAAAAATTTTTTCAAATCTTTTGAAAGTTTCCCCTCTAAAAGATCAGTAACTGAGGCAACTGCTTCACTCATGTTTTCGAACTTTTGGAAATCAACAAGTTTTACGCTTCAATGATATAAATTAATTAAAGTGAAAATACTACAGGCTCACGAAACTCACAACTAAAAACCTTGAGAAATACGTACGTTTTCTTGGCCGCCTCTGGCGTTTCAAATTCCTTCCATAGCTCATCTGGTTCTCTTAACTTACCTTCCTTTAACACTTCAAACAGCGCGTAACCGGCTGCTGTCTCGAATAGAACGAGCATTGGTAATATTCTTAGTAGTACTTTTAGATAAAAAATGAGGAGTTATATGCTAATTTATGAAAATTGAAATTACTGTATAAATAGCAATCACGACAAAAAAAAAAAAATTTTTTAAAATCAAAGTTCCAATCATCACTAGATCATCACCAACGAATAAGATTGATAAGATTGTACATCGTGATGATTGATCGCTTCTTTATCATCACTTAAAAATGAAATTATAATATTTTAAATTTGTAATTAAAATTGAAAATTATAACAGAGAATGGCCCGGCTGGCGTAATTGGATAACGCACCAGACTTCTAACGAATGTAAAATTCGGTTGGCTATCTGGGGATTGCGGGTTCGAGTCCCGCGTCGGGTACAAAACGGTTTCGATTTTTTTTTTTCCCTCGAATTCGAAAATTGTTTTATTTCACGAAAAGTGTTTTACTTAAAGAAATTTCGATAATCTATTCGAATCTTACTTTTTAACGAGCCTTTTTTTTTCCTCTTTCCTTTTTAGTTTTTTTTTAACAACTAAAAGTTTGATCTAAAATGAGTAGCTCTTCCAACGCTCCCACGGAAGAAAATACAAATATGTCGTCATCGGCAAACATTACCCCACAGATCTATTATGAACTTTTACCTCAGAGTGCTTTATTACCAGAAGAAAATCTTTCACTTCCAGATACAATTAAACTTTTAACCGAAGAAGGGACTAAAGCTTTTAAATTGAAAGATTACGAAACGGCAGTGCTTAAATACGAAGAAGCTTCTCAACTTGCGTATGTATCTGATGCTTTTATAAGATTTTATGGCTTTTTGACGCGTAATCTGAAGAAATAATAATGAAACGCTGATGTAATAAAAGATAAAGTCATTCTAATTAGGACTTTTTTTATATTAATTGTCGATATTTAAAAATTTTTCTTTTTCTACTCAAGCGAACTGCACTATGGTCGTTCGGAAGAATTTGCTGATGCTCTTTTCAATTATGGGAAAGCGTTAATTGAAAATTCCATATTTCAAACCTCTGTCCTCGGAGACAATTCATTAGAAAAACGAATTGCGTTAGAAATTCAAGAAGGTTAAAGATAATCTTTTTGTATCGTCTTTATTTATTGTAATATATTTTTTTTTAAAAAAATTTACTTATTATATAGATGAGCTCCAACATAATAATTCTCATATTTATTTCGAAGGAGAACCTAGTTTTGAAGATGAAATGGTAGAAGATCTAACTGAAGAGGGTTTAGAGAGTGAGACTAACAACAAAGAAGGTGAAAGTCATACCGAAGCAGCAAATGAATCAGAAACAGATCAAGATAGTGATTTAAATGTGGCAAATGATGTTCTGACCATTGCTCGAGACATCTATTTGGATGCAGGTACTGAAAAATCAAAAGCGAGCCTTGGAGAAGTATACATGAAATTAGGAGACATTTCTCTTGAACAAGGTAAAAAAACATTAATTTTTTAAAAAAATAAAATATTTAATTAATTGAATAAAAAAATTTTTTTTTTTTTTATTTATAAAATTAACTTAGAAAACTTTGATCAAGCAGTAATTGACTATAGGGGAGCAGTAAAAGTAAAATTAGAAAGATTATCGGATGATAACATGGAATTAACAGAAGCATATCCTTTTACTTAAAGGTTTCGTTAGGTTTATTTTAACACGAAAAACACGATAATATCCTTGACCTTCTAAAATACTCACTGGAAATTGGCTTTAGCTTTATCTGCAAGTACTGATAGAAGCCTAATTGATCAAGCTATTGAACACGTTGAACGAGCTATGGAAGTTTTAAATAAATGTAAAAAGAATTTATTAGAAAAATTAGCATCCGTACAAGAAACTTATGGTAAAGGGAAACAGGTAGCTAAAAGCGATGATAATACAGAAGATATTGAGAAAAAATTGAATGAAATTGACCAATTTCTTATAGAAATGGAAGCCAAGGTATCATTACTTTATTTAATTATATTATTTAATTTTATATATTGTATTACTACAAATTTTATTAACCTATTTCCTTTTCTGAAAAAGATCGATGAATTAAATACTACAAAAGTCAATCGTGAAAAAGAAGTACCGACGCCTAGTGAAATAGCACTTGCTGAATATGTCAAAATGTTAACTCCTTCAGCAGAATCTGATAGGACTACAAACGCTGGATCATCTTCAATAACATCTAATGTACCCATAAATGATATAACATCTTTGATCAAAAGAAAAGTTGTTGAAGATATAAAGAATATTGATGAAAATTCAACAAATACTACAACAAATACTGCTTCAAATGAAAATAACATAACAAACACAATGATAGATGAGGGAGAAGAAAAGAAGCGTAAGGTAGAAAATTTAATTGATGAGAAAACTGGTGAGGGAAATGGTGAAGGAAGATCTGGAGAAAATGATGAATCTAGTCCAAATAAGAAAGTAAGATTGTCAGGATGATAATGTTACCTTATCTCTTTTATCTCTGAGCACTGATTTTGTACTTATTTGTAAAGAATAAGTCTGATAATAATAATTTTACATTACCAATAATCGCCAAAAATTTATGGAAAGAATGAATTTTGCACTTATCTATTATTTTCTATTACACAACTGATATTAGAATTTAATATGATAGAGATACTATAATACAATCAATATACATAGGATCAAATTTTTTAATTTTATTATCATCATTATTCTCAATGTGATATCAGACTATTCAGTATCATTTATTATATTAATTATGTCTGTTGCATAGCATTATTGTTTCATCGCTTTTTTTTTTTACACTTTATAACTTTATAATCTACATAGCATAAGTATAACCTAATCAATTATTATAAAAAGATTTATAATATACTTGCCTTTATTTAGCAACACAGTACCATTTCAATAATAAATTATCAGTACCAACTACGAATTTATCTCCATCGGGACTCCAAGATATGCAAGAAACCTTTTATTTAAAAATAAAAATTTAATATTTACTATAAGTTTTATTATTAAAATGAAAATTCTTGTTACCGTTTCTTTATGTTCTTCAATGGTATCTACAACTTGAGTTTTCTCATTCTTTTCAGGAAGTTGCCATAATTTAATTTTACAATCAGTTGACCTATAATAAATAAAATTTTTTAATATCAAACAATTATTCGTGTAAAAAGTTTATTATTTTTGTACCTACCCGCTTACGAAATGCTTATTATCGCTAGCAGCCGCAACACACATAACGTATCCTTCATGTCCAGTACATTTTGATATTTGATTACCATGTTTTCTATAAAATTTATCCAAAATCTTAAATATACAATCAAATAGATATAATATATACACCAAGTGAAATTATGATATATACACATCATAAATATTGATGGTCTCGTCGTCAGAACCAGAAATTAGATGTTTTCCATCCGGAGTAAAGTCCAAACAGCGTATAGGATTTCCCGAATGTCCAGACAACTTATGAAGAACTTTTGTACTTTCCACATCAAACAAATAAATTTTATCGTTATCAGTACTGAGCGCCAAAATCTTATTATCGGGGCTCTTTTTAACCCCATCATAAAAAATTTCTTTATTAAGAATAATTAATTCTGGAAATTTTCCATTATTCAAATAAAAATAAATAAGGATACAAAGCGGCAACACAGTCCATATTTTCCCTCAGATGTATAAGTTGCAACGATTTCCTCTAGGTTAGAATCATTTCTGAGATCAATAGTTCCATGCTGTGAAGCAGTAGCAAAATATTTTCCATCTTTATTATATTGTCCACAACAAACTTCCCCTACAGCGTAAAAAATCGGTTAGTTCTTTTTTTGCAAATTTACGAAATTATAATATGTTATTACCTGGTTTGGTTTCTATGTCATTTATCAGGTTGCCTTCTAATATGTCCCACCTTTTAATAGTATTATCGAACGAAATTGATATGAGAACTAGATGCAAAAGATTAAACAAAGTTATATAAATTACGATAAAATCAAAATAACAATAATAATGTTCGTTTTACTTACTTTTACCTGTTGGATTTATGTCTAAACCGGTGACGGCTAATATATGACCTTCGAGGGTACGATAATGTTCACCAGATTGCGCTTCCCTGATTCAAACATTCTTTTGAGTCATATATATACACATATTTATACATACATACATATTTTTTTGCAACAATAAAAAGATGCAAACCAGATTTTGATCTCATTATCCAAACTTCCAGAAGCGACTACATTGCCGCTTGGCGACCAACGAACCGACCATATTTGTGATTTATGTGCTACAATAATTAATAAATTAAAAGAAATATCTGTGGAATAGAAATAAAAACAAATGTTTTTTCTTTAATTTACCTTTTGGTTTTTCTACGAAGGATATAAATTGTAAGCTCTATTTTAATGAAATAAAAGATTTTTAGACAAGAGAAAAGTATTGATAGAGATAGAAATAACGTTATAATAGACAAAAAAAAAAACCTTAAAAATAATAAAAATTACTTACCATTATCGAAATGCGTCTTTATTAAATAAGAAAAGAGATTAAAATCTAAAATTCGAGTGAGGGCAGATCAATTTTTATTGGACAAATCGGGTCGGATTTTGATTTTTAAATTGTTCTACAAATAGGCATTGATTGATCATGATTTTTGATCGGTCACTAAAAATTACTTTAATCACGAGATTAGTGCCAGTTCATGGAATTTTCGATCGACCAAACCGACCAACAGTTTTGCTGGTAGTCTGGTACGTCTGGTCGGGTTACAAAAATGCCGATCAAACAATTATCCGGCCTAAATTATATAAATTTTTTCCAGCGTCAAATTTTTCGAAATCACATGACCAAATGATATTATTCTAATTCTGGGCAGAATTAATGTAATTTCAGTCAGAGTTATAAATTATAAAATATGCGATTTTTCTATAAAATATACCTAACTAGTCACTAACTAATATGCGCATATCTATGCACCACATATTTCTGGACACCCTAGATTAGTGTAATCTAATCAAAAAAACCAATCGAACTGGCCTAATTCAAGTCTAATTTTTTCTTGTTAATTTCTCATTTAAAAACAAATGGAAAATGCGGAACTTCGAACATTTAGCCAACAAATAGATTCGATAGATACAAAACTCGTTCAACTTCTCAACGAACGTGCTCGTGCATCTTTGAATTTAGAGAAGGCAAAGAAAGAAGGAAGGTTCGTTAAAGAAAAGTTTTTAAAGGCTTTTAAGCCAGTTATACCAATGTAAATTGTATTAAAAATTATAAATTATTTGATTTTTAATTATCACAGTTATGAAGATAATGAATATTTTGTTTCCAGAAGGGAGAAACAAATTTTTGAGAGAGTTAGTTATTGATTGTTTATTAAAAAA